GTATATAGAAGGAGCTGAGTATATAGAAGGAGCTGAGTATATAGAAGGAGCTGAGTATATAGAAGGAGCTAGTATATAGAAGGGGCAGAGTATATAGAAGGAGCTGAGTATATAGAAGGAGCAGAGTATATAAAGGAGCTGAGTATTTTAGAAGGAGCTGAGTATATTGAAGGAGCTGAGTAAAATAGAAGGAGCTGAGTATATAGAAGGAGTTGAGTATATAGAAGGAGCTGAGTATATAGAAGGAGCTGAGTATATAGAAGGAACAGAGTATATAGAAGGAGCTGAGTATATAGAAGGAACAGAGTATATAGAAGGATTGCTTGAGTACACAACTATAATTATAAACGGTGATAGAAGGTCAACTTAGTGAAGAATATTAACAGTAAGATCTGTAAATGTCTGGTGATGTTACTTACAACCCTTTGTTTGTACAGGAACTCTCACGGGAGGGAGAGAAGGAGGGAGGGAGGGAGAGGAGGGAGGGGGGAAGGAAGGGAGGGAGGGAGGGAGAGAGGAAGGAAGGGAGGGAGGGAGAGAGGAAGGAAGGGAGGGAGGGAAGAGAGGAAGGGAGGAGGAAGGGAGAGAGGAAACGGAGGGAGGGAGGAGAGGAAAGGAAGGGAGGGAGGGAAGAGAAGGAAGGAAGGGGAGGGAGTGAGAAGGAAGGAAGGGAGGAGAGAGAAAGAAGGGAGGGAGGAAGGGGAGAAGGGGAAAAAAGGGAGGGAGGGAGAGGGGGAAGGGGGGGAGGGAGAGAGGAAGGGAAAGGGGGGGGAGGGGGAGAGAGGAAAGGGAAAGGGGGGGAGAAGAAAGGAAGGGAGGGAGGAAGGGAGAGAGGAAGAAAGGGAGGGAGGGGAGAGAGGAAGGAAGGGAGGGGGAGAGGGAAAAGAGGGGGAGAGAGGAAGGGAAAGGGAGGAGAGAGAAAGGAAGGGAAGGGAGGAAAGGGGGAGAGAAAAAAAGGGAGGGGGGGAGGGAGAAGAAAGGGGGGAGAGGAGGAAATAGGAAAAGGAAAGGGGGGGGAGGGGAGAAAGGAAAGGAGAAAGGAAGGAGGGGAGAGAGGAAGGGAAGGGGAAAAGAAGGATTAGGAAGGGGAAAAAGGGGGGAGGAGAGATAAGGAATGGAGGAGGGAAGGGAAGGAGGGAGGGAGAGGGAAGGAAGGGAGGAAGGGAAGGGAAGAAGGGAGGATGGAGGATGGAGGAGGAGGAGTAGGCGGAGGAGGATTAGGTAGACGGGGGGGGGAGGGAAGGGGTTTGAGTGGGGAGGTTGTGGGTTTTTGGGAAAGGGGAGGGGGGTGTGTTTTTTTTTTTTTTTGGGGGGGGGGGGGGGGGGGGGGGGGGGGGGGGGGGGGGGGGTAAAAAGGGGGGGGGGGGGGGGGGGGGGGGTAAAAAGGGGGGGGGGGGGGGGGGGGGGGGGGGGGGGGGGGGGGGGGGGGGGGGGGGGGGGGGGGGGGGGGGGAAAAAAAAAAAAAAAAAAAAAAAAAAGGGGGGGGGGGGTGGGGGGTCCCCCTTTTCTGTCTTTCTCTCCCCCCCTTTCCCGCCTCCCTTTCGTTTTTCCCCCTTCCTTTTCGGCCCTCTTCCCCCCTTTCCCCCCGCCAAATTCCTTTGGCCCTCCTCTTCCCCCCTTTCTTTCCCCCCCTTCCCTTCCTTTCCCCCCTTCCCCCCTTCTCCCTTTCCTCTCCGGGCCCCCTTTGTTCCCCTTCCCCCCCCCCTCCTTTTTCCCCCCCGTTGGGGGGAGAAAAAAAGGGGGGGGGGGGAAAAAAAAAATGGGGGGGGGGAAAAAAAAAGGGGAAAGGAAAAGGGGGGGGGAAAGAGGAAAAAAAGGGGGGGGGGAAAAAAAAAGGGGGGGGGGGGGTTGACAATAAAAAACCCCCAAAAAGGGGTTCCCTTTTTTTTTAAAAAAAAAACGGACTATTCCGAATTGGACTTTTGCAAAAAAAAAAAAAAAAAAAAAAAAAAAAAAAAAAAAAAAGGCACGGACGCCCAGGCAACCTCAGTCACCCGGGACAGCTAGCAACCTCAGTCACCAGGCACAGCCTAGCAACCTCTGTCACCAGGCACAGCCTAGCAACCTCTGTCACCAGGCACAGCCTAGCAACCTCAGTCACCAGGCACAGCCTAGCAACCTCAGTCACCAGGCACAGCCTAGCAACCTCAGTCACCAGGCACAGCCTAGCAACCTCAGTCACCAGGCACAGCCTAGCAACCTGTGTCACCAGGCACAGCCTAGCAACCTCAGTCACCAGGCACAGCCTAGCAACCTTGGGCACCAGCACAGCCCAGCAACCTCAGTCACCAGGCACCCGCCTAGCAACCTCAGGGCACCAGGCACAGCCTAGAACCTCAGTCACCAGGCACGCCCACAACCTCAGTTCACCAGGCACAGCCCAGCAAAACCCCATCACCAGGCACAGCTAGCAACCTCAGTCACCAGGCACAGCTAGCAACCTCATCACCAGGCACAGCCCAAACAACCCAGTCCCCCAGGCACAGCCTAGCAACCCCAGTACCAGGCAAAAGCCTAGCAACCTCAGTCACCAGGCACAGCCTAGCAACCTGGGCACCAGGCACAGCCTAGCAACCCAGTCACCAGGCAACAGCCTAAACAACCTGTGTCACCAGGCACAGCCTAGCAACCTCAGTCACCAGGCAAGCCTGCAACCTCAGTCACCCGGGCACCTAGAAACCTCAGTCACCGGGCCAGCCTAGCAACCCAATCCCCAGGCACCCTCAACCTCAGTCCCCGGGCACACCCTAGCAACCTCAGTCACCAGGCACAGCCTAGAAAACTCAGTCACCGGCAAGCCAGAACCCAGTCCCCAGCACAGCCTACAACCGGTCCCCAGGCACAGCCTAGCAACCTCGTCACCAGGCACAGCCTAAAACCCTCAGTCCCCGGCACAGCCAGAAACCTCAGTCCCAGGCACACCCTAGAACCTCAGTCACCAGGCACACCCTAGCAACCTAGTCACCAGGCACAGCCTGCAACCTCAGTCACCGGCAGGGCCGCAACCTCAGTCACCGGGAACCCCAGAACCAGTCACCAGGCCAGTAGAAACCCTCAGTTACCGGCACCCCTAGCAACCTCAGTCACAGGACAGTAGAAACGTGTCACGGCACCCCTGAAACCCTCAGTCCCCAGGCACAGCCTAGCAACCTCAGTCACCAGGCAAGCCTAAAAACCTCAGTCACGGCACGTAGCAACCTCAGTCACCAGCACAGTAGCAACCCTCAGTCACCAGCACGCTGAAAACCTCAGTCCCCAGGCAACCCTAGAAACCTCATCCCCAGGCCCACCCTTGAACCTCAGTCCCCGGGGCAAGCCTGCAACCTGTGCACCGGGCACAGCCTAGAAACCTCATCACCGGGGCCACCCTAAAAACCTCATCCCAGGACAGCCTAGAAACTGTGTCCCCAGGACACCCTAAAAAAACCCCAGTCACGGGCCGCCTACAACCTCGGTCACCGGCACCCCTAGCAACCCAGTCCAAAGGACCCCTAGCAACCTCGGTCCCGGGCACAGCCTAGCAACCTCAGTCCCAGGCACAGCCTAGAAAACCTCGGTCACCGGGCCGCCTGAAACCCCAGTCCCAGGCCCCCAGTAAAACCTGGGTCACCGGGCACACCCTAGAAACCTATCCCCGGGCAGCTAAAACCCTCGGTCACCAGGCACGCCTAGAAAACCTCAGTCACAGGCACAGCCTAGAACCCGGTCCCCAGGAACAGCCTAGCAACCTCAGTCACCGGGCACAGCCTAGCAACCTCATCACCGGGCACACCCTAAAAACCCTCAGTCACCAGGCACGGCCTAGAAAACCCAGTCACCGGCACACCCTAGAAAACCTCAGTAAAACCCAGGCACAGCCTAGAACCTCATAAACCAGCACAGCCTAGCAACCTCAGTCACCAGGCACACCCAAACCTCGTCACCAGCACAGCCTAGAAAACCTCAGTCACCAGGAACCGCAACCTCAGTCACCGGGACAGTAGCAACCTGAGTCACCAGGCAAAACCTTAGCAACCTCATCACCAGGCACACCCTACAACTCAGTCACCAGGCACACCCAGCAACCTCATCACCAGGCAAGCTAGAAACCTCAGTCCCCAGGCACGCCTAGAAAACCTGTAAAACGGGCACACCGAACCCGTCAAGCCACCTAGCAACCTGAGTCCCGGCACGCCTGAACCCAGTCCCCGGGCACACCCTAGAACCTCGTCACCGGCACGCCTAGAAACCTCGTCCCCACACGCCTTCAACCTCAGTCACCAGAAAACCCCTAGCAACCTCAGTCCCCAGGCAAAGCTAGAAACCTCTCCCCAGGCACACCCTACAACCTTCACCAGGCCACCTAGAAACCCTCATCCCCGGGCAGCTAGCCGAACCCCTTCTTGTGTTGTGCCAAAATTTGGTATACAAAAAATTTTTAAAAATTAGTTTATTTTTAAATGATTTAAATTTAAAGGAAAGGGGAACGTACAAAAATGACCACCTGAAAATTTTGCCCTTTTATTGTATTTCTTCCAGATAAACAGGGTTTTTCACGAAGAGTCTGCTTAACATTCACTGCTTTTGCTAATTTATGGCGAATACTCTTCGCAAAAGAAAGAAGAACATACAATTTTGAAAAAAAGTTTTTTTGATTTTTTGGAGTGGCGTGGAGAAAAGACAATCTTGGGCGGCCCCTGTGGTTGTAAAACCTGTGTAGAAGCTGACAACAGTGGAAAAATAGGTAAAGGGGAAAATTTAAAAAATTGGGTGTACCCATGATGTTTAAGGGAAACCCCAAAAACCCAAGGCTATTGTTATTTTTCTGGGGAATGTGAAAGTTCAGTCGATAAATAAGTGGGAACATCGTGTGTGGAGTCAGCGAGGATCACTGTGCCACAGTGAAAAACGGGACCATACCCCTTTTACAACACTGCCCGACCTTCCATGTCAGATGTTGAAGAATCAGGTTTTGGATGTAACACAGGTGATAGCGTAGAATTTTAAAATAAAGTAAACTTTCAAAGCCCGCTTCCCAAGAACTCAATGATTTTACGTGACCTCAGTTCCACAGCAATCATCTGAAATTTTAGAAAACAACTAAAAGAAATGTCTACAACAAAAAGTTAAAAAAAAAGTTATTAGAAAATTTGGTTTAATTTCCCTTTTTACTTCCGCCATGATAAAGAACTTGTATACTGCAATAACATCTCTGGATTCTTTTTCGAATGGGGCTTGAATACCCACCCCAGATTGGCGGCCCCGTTTAGACATTCCCTCAAACTTAAATATGTCTTTTGCCCTGGGAAAAACCCAAATACATCTCTTTTCAATTCAATCTCAACAAAACTTGAAAAGGAATAGAAAATATTAAAATGGTTTGTAGAAATTTCCCCAAGCTACCCCGACTCTTAACCCCACCGGTAGATCATCAGAGCGCATTTTTCACCTGACCTCAACATTTGAACATGCTATAAATACTCTGTACCTTCCAACCCCCCGGTAATCCGTGTGTGACTTAAAAAGCCCCCTGTGTGGGTGAAACGTTGTCAATAAAAGGTCATATATCTGCATTTGTGTTTTATTTCCATGGTATTGTAAGTTTTGGTATCATGACACAAGATGTTTGTGTTTATCTGAAAATGATCAAGTTGGGGGTAAAAATGGTATTCAAAAGTACCTTTTTTTTTGCACCCGTTGTGGGCAGTAGAGGGAAAGGGAAAAGTAACATTTCCCTTTAAATAAAACCCTGACTGAGCTGCAGCAAACATTATTAACGAGCCCTGGGGTTGACGGGTTTCTTATTCGCCACCACTCCACATTAAGTTGGACTAATGAAGCTATTCTTTAGGCCCCTTGGGGGAAAGTGACAATTTCTTCAAATACATTAGTAGATCGTTTTCTGGAAAAACTGAACGTTGGAATCTTGATGGGCCCCAAAATTTGAAAGCTAATATCAGAAAAAAAAGTGAATGGTGTTTAAATTCGTGCATGAGCGTTATGTGTCGGTTTCAAAAATTCCCGGGTATTAATGAAGGTAAAATTTTTAAGGAAAGGCGCAAAACTCTTAAACATACGACTTAAAAATTTTAGGGAAATTTTTTTGGCTGAAGGTAAATGTCTCCCCTGGCCACCCAGACGATTTCCAATAACTTGTGAGGCGAGAAACAAGGGAATAAGTTCCAAAGGAAAATATAAAGGGATGGGGGAAAGGTATCAAAGGGAATGGAACACCTGATGGTAGACATTGCTGGGCCTCCTCGGCACTGTCCTGAAGACCAACAAAAAAGAAATCGTACAAATAAAATCTTATACCGTAATTAGTGGTATCTGAATACTTACCCTGAATTCTGTTATTATCAGAAAAAAGTGCACTATATTTACATGATTTTCTTTTGGTGTCTAAAAAAATAATTTTAAGGCGATTTATAATTAGTCCCCCTGATAAAAATATTTTTCTTACTTTTTTCACAATAGAACCAATTAAAATAAAACTGTGAAAACTGTGACCAGCACCACAAAATGACCTAAAAAACATTGTAAACATTTCTATGTGGCTGTGCGCTTTGCGCCCCCGCAGCAAAAAACAACATAATAAAATAGCGAAAATAATAATAGCAATAATAATTATAATTCAAAATAATAATAATAATAGTCATAAAATAACGAAAATAACAATGACAGTTATGAAAAATAAAATAATAATAAAAATTTTAAAATTTCAAATGCTATAATAACAACAATAACAATAAGATACAATAATAAATAATAATAATAATAAAATAATAATAATAATAATAAAATAATAAAATAAAAATAATAAAATAATAATAATAATAATATAATAATAATAATAAAAAATAATAATAATAAATAATAATAAAATAATAATAATAAAAATAATAATAAAATAATAATAATAATAAATAATAATATAATAATAATAATAAAAATAATAATAATAAAAAATAAAAAAAATAATTAATAATAAAAAAATAAAAATAATAATAATAATAATAATAAAAATATAATAATAATATAATAATAATAATAATAATAATAATAATAATAATATAATAATAATAATATATAATAATAATAATAATAATAATAATAATAATAATAATAATAATTAATAATAATAATATAATAATAATAATAATAATAATAATAATAATAATAATAATATAATAATAATAATAATAATAATAATAATAATAATAATAATAATAATAATATTAACCCTGAGCTTGTGGATCAGTCTTGCTAGGAACCTAGCATAGTCGCTGGGTGTGAAGTGCGGTAGACTACGGAAGACCGCACACTCCCGCTGGTGCTGCGGCTGCGACAGCTCCCTGCACAGGTCACTGCAATACCAGGCTCGTCCGCAGTCCCTGCAGCGCCGCAGTATGCGGTCCTTCCTGCGGGAGAATCAGTAGTAGCACTCAACACCTGACACTCAACACCTGACACTCACACCTCACACTAACACCGTAACTAACACCTGAGAGTCACACCTGACACTCACACCTGACACTAACACCTGACCCTCAACACACATCTTCTGTATAAGCATACAAGGCTGTGTTAGCATGTGTGGCAGACTAATCAGTTGTGTGTGTTTATGTGTAGGTGTGTGTGTGTGTGTGTACTCACCTATTTGTGGTTGCAGGGGTCGAGTCTTAGCTCCTGTGTTTGTGTGGAGGTGTGTGTGTGTGTTGCGTGTGTGTTTATGTGTGTGGAGGTGTGTGTGTGTTTATGTGTGTGTATGTGTGTGTATGTTTATGTGTGTGTATGTGTGTGTATGTTTATGTTTGTGTATGTGTGTGTATGTGTGTGTGCGTTTGTGTGTGTGTGTTTATGTGTACGTGTGTGAGTTGTGTGTGTGTGTTTGTGTAGAGGTGTGTGTGTGTTGTGTGTGCGTCTGTCTGTACTCACCTACTTGTGAGTGCAAGAGTCGAGTCATAGCTCCTGGCCTTGGTTATTAACTTTCCTATCTGGATAGAGAAATGGTAGGTACAGCATCGGTACACAGCTGTATGAGTAGGTATGACAGGCGGTCACTAAGCCAGGAGAGTGAACCAGTAGCAGCAGTCAGTTCGGAAGGTAGGGCCAGGAGCTGTCACTCGACCTCTTCAACAACAAAAGGGTGAATACACAGAGACGCGCCGCACAAAACACACACACACACACATACACACACACACACAAAACACACACACACAAAATCACACACACACACACACACACACACACACACACACACACACACACACACACACACACACACACACACACACACACACACACACACACACACACACACAAACACACACACACACTGGTCTGGTCTATTGCCAAGTGACGTCATACCGTATTTACTGTCTCGTGATACTGATGTCATGGGTGTGTATGTGTGTATGTACGTGTGCGTTTGTATATTCATCTATTTGTGGTTGCAGGAGTCGATTCACAGCTCCTGGCCCCGCCTCTTAACATCTACCAGATTCACTTCCTTCTAGTCTCGTGTGCTCTGTTATATCTAACATTAAAACTTAGAAAGGAGCCTGCTTTCATGCAGGTCATATCCCTTCCCGGCCACTCTCAGGCTGAAGAAATACTTCCTGACATCCAAGTGATTTATATATGTCTTTAATTTCTAACTGTGATCCCGTGTACCTGTTTCTCACCACTGTCCACACTATCAATTCTTCTGAGAATTTTCTATTGTGTTGTCATATCTTCCCTGGTGACTGTTAATGGTCCTAGTCAGACCGAAACGTCGTGATCATTTCTCTCTCTCCTGTGTGCGGGTTATATGTGTCTTGATCCATTTACGGTGTTGTGCCTTTTTCCTCATTCTCCCCTGGTTCTTCTATCCAGTGTCGTCAGTTTTAGTTCCATTAGACGCTCCTCATACCTCATCTCCCTTAATTCTGGGAGTAGTCTATTTGTAGTCTGTCTGGGACTAGTCTGTTTGTAGTCTATCTGGGAGTAGTCTATTTGTAGCCTTTCCTTGTTCTCGTCTATTTTTATTCTCCGCGTCAGTCTTCCATCATCTACAAACTGGGACACATCTAGCTTCCTCTTTTCTTGTAAGTCAGTCAGGTGTACCACAAACAGTACCGATCTAGTTACCGATCCTTGCGGAACCCCACTTGTCACTCTGTCCCATGTTGACACCTCGGGCCATCACTCTTTGTCTCCTTTCCATAGAATTCTCTTTGATTCACTCTAGTTTATTCCCTGTTCTTCGTGACTGCTACTCAAGCTGCTGTTCCAGTCACTTGTGAGGTATACCAGTCAATGTTTTCTTGCTGCTTATAACTATTGAATCCATCTCTCTCTCTCTCTCTCTCTCTCTCTCTCTCTCTCTCTCTTCTCTCTCTCTCTCTCTCTCTCTCTCTCTCTCTTGCCTCACTTCTGTTATTCTCTCACAGAGTTCCAGGAGGCACGTAAGAAGAGATCTGCAATCTCTAATCCCGTGCTTGTTACTGTTTAAGAAACCATTTCTCCCTTAGTTCTCCATAACTCTCTGACTGTCTTCTCCATTACCTTGTATTAGTATGTCTATGATAGCAGTCTGCAGTTGAATGCTTCCTGTCTGTCTCCTTTCTTAAATATTGAGACTACATTCCGTGTCTTCCAGACCATTGGCTAGTGTTTCACCTGTGCTGAGTTGCGGATTTTCCTACTGTTTTCCCCTATAGACTCCCTGGTGAAAAATTCTCTCCAGTTATATTGCTTTCCATGTGTCCAGATCACTCAAAAAGATTTTTTTTTTTCACTTCTTGTCCAGTTGTGTGCATGTTGTCCAGTACCTGTTGGTGTAGCCTTTGTCTGTGGTGCTGTTGTGTTATTGTTGCAGCTATTGTTGCACCCATTGTTCACCTGTTGTTCACCTGTTGTTGCACCAGTTTTCACTGAAAACAGTTATTCAACTCCTCTCAGACTTTCACTTTGTTTCTCGTGAACTCTCCTCCTTCCTTCGTTACCCTTATTAACTGATCTTTCACTGTTTTCTGGTGCATATATGTGTGTGTGTGTGTGTCAGGCACATATTTGAATATGCAGCACTAGTATGAAGCCCACACCTGGTCAAACATGTAAAGAAATTGGAGAAAGTACAAAAGTTTGCAACAAGACTAGTCCTGGAGTGGTTTGGTGAACTACTCCTGATGACGCTAGAGGATAGGAGGGATGGGGAGGACATGACAACGATGTATAAAATACTGAGAGGAATTGACAAGGTGGACAGGGCCAGAATGTTTCACAGATGGGACACAGGAACAAGGTGCCTACAACTGGAAGTTGAAAACTCAGATGAACCATAGGGAAGTTAGGAAGTATTTCTTTAGCCTTAGAGTTGTCAGGAAGTGAAATAATCTGGAGAGTGAAGTAGTGGAGGCAAGATCATACATAGCTTTAAGAAGAGGTACGATAATGCACTTGGAGCAGGGAGAGAGTGACACAGTAGCGACTAGCGAAGAGGTGGGGGCAAGGAGGTGTGAATCGACCCCTGCAATCATATATAGGTGAGTACACACACACACACACACACACACACACACACACACACACCACACACACACACACACACCTACCTGGCTGAACCAAAACAGTATTCACAGTAGCAGCCGGTGAGGGAGGAGTCAAGGAGAGTGCAGAAAGGTTTTGATGTGAGGATAATATCCCCTCGCTTCACCGCCTTCTTAGCCAGCAGAGTCTTGGCTCTCACACACGCTAAGTCTCGCATCTTGACGACACTGGTGCCACCACACCCTCCTGGCACC